TATAATTTTAAGACTTTTTACTCTTTTCTCAGTAAATTATTTATTTACTTAATAATTTTAATTTTTTTAATAATTAAAATTAATAAAAAATAATTGAAGGATCAAAATAGACATTTAACCTTTAAAATTCGGATAATATGCACTAATTTCAAAAAAAAATTAAGTTAATTTTTATTTTAATTATTAATGTCATATGCTAATTTTTTTATTAATTTATTTAAAATTATAAATTAGAATTTATCTTATTAATTCAAAACTTCACATTTTTAGTTAAAAAAATGTCACAATTATTATTTACTAATAATTACTCCTTCCTGTGTGCCCACAAACCCAAAGTTTATTTATATACATTTACTCCGTAATTCGATTAATAAATGATAATATGAAAAAAAAAATTGTGTTTTTGGTAAAATTATCTCTCCAAAATTTGATGTTAGAAAATCAAAATCCCCAAATTAAAAACCCTAACCTACATATCCAATCCCTGCCCCCCACGTGCCAATCACCTTAACTGAGCAAGCGCTCGAGGGCGCCGCAACGAACCAATCACTACAAAGTTGCATATTTTCTCACTTCAACCGTCCGATTCATTGCCACGTCATCGATCCACCCCCCAGCCCTTGCTTCAACGGCTGAGATCACACTTACAGAGGAACAAGCTCCCCGTTCTTTCACTTTCTCTCTCCTCTTCATCTTCCAATTTCTGATTTTAATTTCGATTTTTTTTCTTCGAAAATCAGAGAGATTTTTGTTCGGAAAGTTTCTTCAGTTTTCCAGAGATGAGATTCATGGATGAGGAAAAGGAAATCGTGGTTTTGAACGAAGAAGATAGGGAGGAGAAGGAGGAGGAAGATGAGAGTGAAGTAGAAGAGGAGGAAGACGATGACGGTGACGATGTTGATGACGAAGACGATGATGGAGAAGAAGAGGAGGAAGACGATGATGATGGACAGGTTATTCACTCCTCTGGTGCTCCTCCGGTGCAGTCCGTGGATGATGATGAGGAAGATGATGGCGTTGAGGATGAAGACGACGAGGACGACGATGGGGAAGGTGATGATGACGACGATGATGACGACGGTGAGGTGAACGATGACGATGACGATGACGATGCCGAGGAAGAGGTAGCTCTTCTAAATTCTAGTGTAGTTTTCAGCAGTATTTGGTAGTTAGTTTAACATTTTTTCCAATTTAAGCTGTTTTTCATTGAAAATTTGCCCAGATCTGGTGATTTTTTGTTCGCTTTGTTGATAATTTGAAGTAGATATTGGAGATTAAGCTTTTTTTGGTGGATTTTTGAGGAGTTTTAGTTTCTTCTTTCAGATCTGTTGCTGTGACTAATGTTTTTGTAGAAATTTCATCGGATTAATTTATGCTTGATTTAATTAGATAAAAAGGAATTTAAATACTGTATAAGTATGCATTCTTATGGTTGTTTGTTGGTGCCTCTGATTTTTCTTTACTTATTTTTTGTTTGATCTTTTAAAAGCTTTTCCAGTTACTATTGGATATTTGAAGTAGCTGATTTTATGTAAAGAAAACCTTGATTTAGTATTTAGTACTAAAAAAAAATTAAAAAAATAAAAAAATAAAAAAATAAAAAGATAAAAACCAACTTGACATTTCAACATGCTTCAGAACTTATTATTGCCTCTCTTTTTTTTCCCCCTATTTTTGAAGTACCTGTGTGCCAATGGAATCCAATTAAGCTTTTTCATTGATAGTCAAAAGTCTTTATCTCTCTGTCCAACATGATATGTAAGACTACTTGATTTCTATTTGTAGGGTGCAGGGAGAAGGAATTTAAGTGCATATTTGTTGTTTCTGATTTGTGATTGAGGGTTTATCATTCTTAGCAACATGGATTTTTGGATTGTCTGTTTCTCATTTTCTTGTGACGTGATTGTGATTCTCTTTCATTGTTGTGTATGTCTTCTAATTTATTAAGCTGCAACATAACTTGAATATGAGTTTATGTTGTTTTCAACTTAGTAGAGTTTTGAAATATGAGATTTTCACTCAGTTGGCCGTTTTCATTTTGAGTTGTTTTTTTGCTGAATTAGGTGGTTCTACAATCAATTCTGTTGGACTGCTGAGAACCTTAATCTTATGAATTGCTTATCATGTTCTGGTTTTGTTCTCAGTCCCTGTAATTTTCTTGCCTTTATTTCCTGGAAAGGATTAAAAGAGCATGGGGTCTTTGGGGCTATTTTCAAATACCTGTTTTGAGAATCTTGAAAACATGTTCCATCTGAATTATCTGGCAAAATATAGAAAGGCATTATTTATTTAACGTGCTATCATTGTCATAGTTATTGATTCCTCTACCATTCTTATACCATATGGCGTCTTAAGCCATCATACCTTTCATTGGGAAATTTTATCTGGTACAATTACAGAATTTACCTGTTTAGACATAAACCCTTATTCAATGTCTGATTGACACAAAATCTAGGGACATTTTTTTTTTTTTTTTTACACCTGTTTGAACTCTTTGTCTTATGGTGACTATGGTCTCTGTTTAGGCATCAATTGTGTTGTTACTGTTATTGATTCATGAATTCTTCTGCTTAATTTAAAATCTTCCTTTTGTTAATTTGCATTTATTCTGTTCTGAGGGCATCCTATTAAGGTCATAATACCTTGTCTGTAGGAGGATATGGGAACAGAATACCTTGTACGGCCAGTGGCTCGTGCTGAAGATGAGGAAGATGCCAGTGATTTTGAACCTGATGAGAATGGAGACGATGAAGATTTTGAAGAAGAGGACGAGGATGAAGATGATGTAGATGAAGCTGCTGGGAAGGTTGAAGCCCCATCAAAGAGGAAGAGGTCAGATGATTCTGACGATGGTGATGATGGTGGAGAGGATGACGAGAGACCATCCAAGCGATAGGGTCGAGCCCCATCCTGGTTTGAGGACTGACCATTGAGGCATAGGTCAAATCTCTTTTTCTCATCTCTCATACACAATCTTTTCTCAGTAGAATGAAGGATAGGATGCATATCGCATTCTATTTCTACTAGATATTGTATTATTACATTATCATTATTATTATTATTATCATGCAGGACTGTTAGGGTTACATGTTTAATCTGGTAATGCAGAGTCATGTTGAGTTGAGGTCTGAAGAATTACTTTGGAACACTGGTTTAGAATTTGTATGAGTAACTATGATCTTTAGATAAGTATTGGACTTTTGATAGCATGCTTTTTCCATGGTAGGTTTATATTGCCCCTTTTCTCCCTTTGATCTAATCTGATGAATGGATGGTTGGTGGCATATGATTCACCATATGGAATTACTCTCTTATGACTTAATGAAA